ATATATATAATTGCCTTACGCACTCCATGAGTAATGCGCTAGTSCGATTTGAGAAACGCAAAGTATGAATCGCAGTCGTAGTTTTAATGACTACAGATAATATGTTGATAATACGTCGATGTCGTGGCTAATTTTTGGCGCCTATCAAATATTTCTATATATATACGTAAATAGATTCGTTCATATTGTATATATACATAAAGATTGTCGAGACTTTTGTGTTTCATCTCAGCATTTTTAAAACCATAAATCGAAGTCAAGGTCAAACGCATATAAATACCATTGAACTCTCACACTCGGTTTGCCCACTAATTATCTCATCTGCTATCGGATACGCGTTTAGCCCATTACTGTCATCTATAGATTTGGTGAGGGAGGTGTTGGTTAAGGAGGAGTAGCAGTATGTCGTCCGATTTATTTGACAGGTGACACCGTTTGCGTTACTTATTAAAAAATTTTTATCTGTCAGATATGAGTAGATAAGGCATGTAAGCCAAATGAAGGTAATATATTGAAGCTTGTTATTTAACTGGACACATTAATACGTTATTAGCGGGTTTGATCACAAAATTTAATTGTTATCAAACCAAAAGTTTTCAAGGAGGAAGTTCTATCTGATAATATTGTATTATAGATCCATAATTCACTTTACATTTCATTCAAAATTAATATTAATTTTAAAAAATCAATTACAATACAAACTACAATGAAAATTGTTTGCCCATATTATGTGTGCTTATAAATAAAACGAAATACTAATCACGAAGCATTATCAATGGGCATTATAAAATGTTATGAAATGACCCAAGACTCAAATGACTGTCTATGCGTGTATGTGCTAGAGAGAAAGATAGAGAGGAGAGAAAGAGGGAAAGAGACATAGATTGATAGAGAGAGGGAGAGAGATAAAGAGAGTGAGTGGTCCAATGTATTCATTATCAATACGTTCAACCCGCTTATTTATTTATTTTTATTTTTTTGCTGAATAGGTTCATTGATAGTGTATCATATCCATATTGCAACGAACCCTAGAACGCTGATATTACGGCTAATATACCACAGTGTGTAAACGAAAGACCCAAGTCTTGCTCAATTATGGAAGAGTTTAGATGGATTCTTGATATTAATACGGCAAAAATATTGTCATCATTTGTATGGATAGTCATTTTTGGAAAATAATACATATATTTTGGGAAAAAAAACGGGTTTGCAGATTTTTAAAGCCAAATAAGGTGATCTATCACTATGTATGGCATGCATATGGATATATTTCTAGATAAATTAGTAATTAAAGTTTTACAATGGTACGTAGACCATGGGATATAAATTTGCAAAGGAATCTTTGATATTAATAAAGCAATGTGTCAAATATTATTATATATATATGTCAGATATTTAAACTGGAACTTACCTTCAAATTATCAAATCTATTTATTTAACTATATACCTCAATAGGCTTGTATTACAATTGACAAACGCAATTACAGGAATTGAACTTTTGGTTTTTAAAATAACACTTTTTACGCAAATGTTAAGCGTTGGGTGTGACAGTGCACAATAAACGCAAATCCGTAGCACGCACTTGCTTATATAGGCACAGCCAGTGTTGCAGACACAAAAAGGATAAATCAACAGGTATGGTACACACACGCAAACACTAATATGTCCGAGGTATACAGTTACGAGTAAAAACGACGCAAATTCCGACTACTTCGGCACTTCAGAACACCAAAGCAGTGGGCGGTAAATTCGAGTGTTTCTAATGCCCAAGTGGGCGGTCGGTTGAAATTGTTGCTCAGTTGCAAGTTTAGCAACTGAGCAGAGCATGAATGAATGAGAATGAATAAGTAGTACTTATTGCTGTCTTGGTTGTTTGCAAACTAAAGTCGGCCATGCAAGTTGCTCGTCTACTACACCCTGATCACTGGTGGCCGATTTCTTAAACTTTTCGGTCCCGATCTTTGTCTCGAACCTCCATGATTGACTGTATGCCATGCCACGCTTTTGACAAATCGCCCGATAATTCAGAGATTTATTGCTTAGCTGACAAACATTAAAACAATGTGAGCTACAGACATGATGCATATTAGTTTATATAAGTATTTTGAAACCTGAATATAAAAATACAAAATTTGATATAACCAAATATATATATTGAATACAATATGTTGAAAAAACAAACTTGATTAGTGTTAAAAACATGAGGACGTAAATAACATCAGGTTTGATTTAAATTCACTCTGACATCGGAAATTTTAATTAAAATACCCAATAAATGTAAATAATATGAATCAATTTGTGATGTATAACTTCGGTTATCCCTTAAACTACACCTGCAAAAATAAAAAGTATTTAACGTATACATCTGAAAACTATTTCAAGATGAAGATATGAAATAGGCCGAATAACTTTCTGTGTCCCTCTAAAAAATAAGTGGAAATTTACAGACGTAAAGAGAGTTTTCAGATGACAAAATACTATCGTTAGCCTATTTTTTTTGTTTTTTTTTTTTTCTAAAAATACATATGATGAAATATCTTTAAAATATTACAAAAGATTAAAAATATGAATTTTAACTGAAGATTAATTCAAGAATCTGGCCAATCTGTCTTATCTTCTCCAGACATCGGTTAGCTTGGTTTATTAACTAATTAAAAATAATTTCAGCTGACACAGCATTAATTGGTCGCTTAATTCTGCTTTTTTTTTTTAATCAGAGGCGCCTAACATGTGTCACACTTGTTGAACTTTGCACGTATCATATGTTGATAATACCACCTACGCATCGAATACCATAAAAATTAATTTTTATTGTTACATCAGCTTCACAAATTAAGATTAGACATGATAAGCTGACTTTTTTTTTTAGAATACAAGCTGCGCATATAACGGTGAAACCAAGTATTATATCCCAAACCATATCGGCATAATTGACACTTATTAAAAAGAATAATCGCAAGGTGACATACGTAGATATTGACATATACATGTTGGAACTACAGTGGAGTACACGTGCTGCTTAATACCGGTCCAATCAACATCAAGAATATCAAAAGCACGAGAGTGATGATTTTCCTTTTATGCTGACAATTATTGCAGTAATTAACGCGAGTCACAATATTTAGTTATATATTAATGCTTACCTAAATTGTGCAAACTTTGAGTGCTGATTGATTGAATTTGAACGTTAAGTGCGCCGATATATTTAACATTACTCAGCACTGTTGTATTTGAAACGAAATCGATAAATCATAACGATGATAATATTGTGATTGTGGTTAGTGGATTAAGCAATCACATAATGAACAGGTATCGCGTTATGCGTATTACTGTTGTACACAAATACATCTTGAAACATATTTATTTTTATATGTAACTTTAAACAGATTTAAAAGCAATTTCATTTCTTAGCTAATACAGTCTTTTTACTGTAACTAACGTTACTTTTTATTGAAAAATACCTGTAACGAGTAGTTATCGTATACACAGCTCTACTATCGGCTATTCAGCTGGTGCAATAAAAGGGGGAGGGGGGATGAAAAATTAAAAATAAGAAAATCATCATGGCTACATCAACGTTGCAGCTGGAATTTTCCCAGGCTATGGCTGACTTCAAAAAGATGTTCCCGGACATTGACCGTGAAGTGATAGAAGCTGTGTTGCGGGCCAATTTGGGTGCAGTGGATCAAACAATTGACCAACTACTCGCTATGTCAACTGACAACCAGGTACATACATACATATGCCAATGTGCGTGCGTGAAAGTTTGTGCGTGTGTGTGTATGTTTGCTTGTGTATACTAAGAGTTTACTAACTAATACTAACTGCATGTGTGATTAGAACGAAAAACTGCGCAATGAACTGGATGCTAATGTCTCCCCACAACAGAGTCTCATTAATCTTAGCGACACGGACAGAGAGCTGCGACGCAATCATCAGCAGCCAATAATCATCGACGCTACAGATGGCGACCCAGAAAACACACTCCCAGCCGTTACCTCAAGTGCTGGACATACGCAATTACTGAGCACAACAACAGCTTCGCCGAATCATCACAATACGGGCGCTTCGCCCAAACAACGTCCGTTCGGAGCTTCAACTAAGGGTAGTGGCAGCAACGCCATTAATACGCCCACCAAGCGCAACATCAGTCACACCGTCGGATTGTCCAACAATAGCAGGAATTGGAGTCCTTCTATATTAGGTGTCCTGCCACCTGGATTTCTGCGCGTGGCGCCCTCTGGCGGTCAGCAAGATTTCGAGTTGCCCGATGAACAGTTCGCCCTGATGCTACAGAATGAGGAGTTTATGAACCAGCTGCGATGGAATCAGGACTTTATGAGTGCACTGGAGAAGGAGCAGAGCGGCAAGGCCAAGGGCGAAGATGATGCGCCCTTCCAGGAGCGACTCAAGAACATGGGAAAAATGTCCCGTAAAAAGTTTCTACAAATGGCGCGTGTTTTCACCTGGCAGCGCAATAAAAAAGTAACAACCGCCAAGCAAATCGATTCGTTGCCGCTGCGTGAGGAGCATAGCGACGATGAGGATCATAATCAACAACAGCAACAATCTCAACAACAGCAGCAACAGTCACACCAGCAGCAACAGATCCAGGTCCAACCCCAGGGTCAATTACAGTTGCGCAAATAGAGCTAAAGATATAAAAATAGATAACTCTAGGGCTCCATTGATTGTTATCTTACATATATAGTATATCGCATTATATTATTTCAATTGTACCATACGTGCAAGATCTTTACAACAGACATAAGGTAAATCGTATTCTGAACACATCTTACGTAGTAATCTTCATGCCAGAATCTAACGAAATCTAAAATCTCGCTGCGTTACATCGTTACATATATTTAATATATATAATTCTAGTTTTAAATTTCGTGTAATAACCTAAAGTGCAATTTTCAAAACACAAATCCCCAGTGCAATAATTTGTTTTCGACTATTACATATTAAATACTTTATATATTATTATTGATTTGCCAATTTTCGTTGTTGCCAAATTAGCATTAATTAAGTTTTATTCGTAATTTTTTTGCTGATAGTTCTTTAACCAAGAGCTTATTGATAGCTGGACTGATTCTTAATGGGTTAATTAAAGAATTTTCAAGCAGCGCAAAAAGACTTAAAAAAAAAAAAAAATAAACATATAGAAAAACTTATGTACAAGCCCTTGATGAAATTCGAAAAAACTAGTCATAAAAAAAAAACACATATTTTATGTACGGTTGAAAAATATGCATTTGTGCTATACTATACCAAAAATCTTAAAATTTTAAAAACAAAAGTTATTATATAATCATTAAATACTTGCTAGTTGGCTTCTATTGTTGTATTAAAGAAAAAAAGAGAATAATAATACAAAATTAAATTAAAAATATATAAATTTCAGCGGTAATCAATGTCCATATCAAATTAATGATATTACTCTGTATAACCCCACTATATATGTATATCCATAGATATTTTGATGGTTATGCAAATATTTGAACTATTTGATTGTAATTTACTTGTACTTGTATTATAACAAATTATATTCATATTCCAAGAATAAAATACAGGAACCATTATTTACGAAATGAAAAACAGAAATAATGACTCGAATGTGTTATAAAAAACGCATTTTTTATTTCTTACATGAATTTATTTAATTTTTGTTTTACTTTTAAATATTTT